AGACTCGTGGCGGGCCACCCTCTTTATGAGGTGGGGCCCACTTTGGAGATTTCCAGGCACGCCAGGCCAGCTTCCCCTTCATGGGGAGGCCGGAGCCGAGTGCCAGATTAGACTCGTGGCAGGCCAGCCTCTTTATGAGGTGGAGCCCATGCTGAGGCGTTTTCCAGTCCCATCACACCAGATACCCCTTTATCGAGAGGACTGAGCGCAGCGTTGGAGTCTCCCTGTGCCAGGGAAGTGTTTCTTCATGCAGAGCACTCGACATTCCCAGCATGATTTTTGCCTGGGTTTGGACAGAGCTTGCATCTCTCTTCAAGGGGGACAGCCATGGTGGTAGTTGAGCGGATAGGGGCTCGGCAAGCCAGCCTTCATGGGCAATGCCTTGGTCCGTTGAAAAAGCGAGCTCCTATAGCATTGGGAAGAGAAGGAAAGGGTCCTGGGCCAGCACGAGGGAGCAGCCCCTTTCCACTAGGGGTCAAGCCAACACCTCCCCGCTCGGCACTGCGAATTGCGCCTGCTGGCAGCGGTGCTGTACGAAGAGGGTGCGGTCGGAGGCGGCTCCTTTGGCCATAGACACCAGTGCCGCTCACTTGAGGCTCTGTCTGGATGGGCAGGGTGGGGCGCGGTTCACCTGTTGGACTGCGGACCAGGCAGACCTGCCTTTGTCCCCGTGGTGTAGCTGTGAAGCTGAGTGGGGATTTGGCCCCACAGGGTGGCTGCCGTGAAGGCTTAGTGGGGGAGGAAAAGCAGCTTGCGTATACAGTGCAGACGGGAAATGCCTCCTGGCAAGAGAGCCGCTGCTCCGAATTCTTCTCAAGGCAGGCGAGCAGCCCCTGTGTGGGGGCGAGTGTGGGTTGAAGGGGAGCAAGGGCTGTGTCCTCCTCACGGGGACAGCTCAGCGCAGTTCTGGCTTAGATGCATGCCTGGCAGGTTCCCTCGCCATGAGACGGATCAGCTTAGTCCTCAAAGCAATGCTTGGCAGGCCGCTGCACACTTCCCCGCATTGGACAAGGGGAGACCTCTCTTGGAAAGAGTCCCAGCCTCGCCCGCCCTACAGGGTTGCTGCTGTGAGGATAAGAAAGAGCCCGGAGANTCAGTCCTCAGATGGATGCGTGGCAGGCCGCTGCACACTTCCCCGCATTAGGCAAGGGGAGACCTCCCTTGGAAAGAGTCCCAGCCTCGCCCGCCCTACAGGGTTGCTGCTGTGAGGGTAAGAAAGAGCCCGGAGAGCCCCCTTGGCTTTCTCAGGAGAGGTAAAGGGCCCAATCTAAATGCAGAGCTCTGCTGCTGCTGCTGCTGCTGCTCGTCTCGCCCTAGCCCACTCTTGGCCAGGCGTCTCTGTTGTAAGAAGGGGCAGCTGTTAATACCCCCTCCTCCCGGGCTGTGGCTGTTGGCCCCTGGATGCCCCAGCCCTGCAGTTGCCCGCACTTGGGAAGTTGTGACCTCCTTTGCAAATTGTATTTGTAAATACGGAACGAGAAATCCTTCTCCACTTTGATGGCAGCCTCAGTCCCCTGGGGAGAAGGTTGACGCTTCCTTGTTGCAACAGGAACTGTTGACTGACATCCCCGAGGGCTTCTGGGTCGAGGCTTCTGCAGAGACAGGCCTCCCTGCAAGTGCTAGCCCCGTTAAACTCAAAGTGAAAAAGGGGGTCCCCCTTGTTGCATGCCATAGAGACTGCTTCCCTGCGGGCCTGAGAGGGCGTTGCTCTGCTGGTAGGATTCCTTTTCAGCTCAGGACATTGTGGTGCACCCCGTGAGCCGCTCTATGACACTCCTGTATTGCTCCTCCAGCAACTAAGAAGGTAAAAGCCTGTTTTCAAGCCCTGACTCTGAGCTCTGTGTCCTTTGCCCATCTGGTTGGGACAGCCCCCCCACCCCCAAATGAGGCCCTCGCTCAGTAATGGCTCTGTGGAGTCAATGGCTCTCTGTGCGGCCGACACCATGTTAATATCCCGGCAAAATGGAACAGTGGAAAGCACCGTAGAACACAGCCCCAAAGACCAGTAATGGTAGAAGCCAGGCGGGAATTAGCAGAGTGAGAGAGAAGTAAAATGCTAGTTGGATAAATCCTATCTGTTCCAATCTCTCTCTTTAAAAGGGGGTCTTTAAAAGCCCCCTCAAGTGGGACC